CAGACACTGATCCAGAAAAGTAATTTTTTTCATCTCAGGCAGTAAATGCCACGTGATTTAAGAGTCTGGTGCTTAAGCCATGGTCCTTGATCGTCAGAACATCAAAGGCTGTCTCTTTCTGTGGGTTGGTCCCATTTTGCTTTCCAAATCCCAGGCTTGAGCCTCTCCCATTCCTTCCTGGACTAAATCCCCCTTCTCCTTTAAAACAGGTTTCAGCATCTTAAAAAAAAAATAGTACTTAAGAAGCAGGTTAGAAAGTATCCTCTATGACACACTTCTTCACCTGCTATGCTCAGAGCTGTCCCCAGCCCATTTTAATACACTAGAATACAACTTTCTGGGCTGTGATCTGGCTTATGTGTTGTGTAGAGTTGCCTTGGTAGGAAAAGTCTGAGTTAACCAAGTTCCTCAGCGCTACCAAGCTCTTAAGTTGGTTAAATTTGTTAGCATCATGAACTGAATCTCCAAATAAAGATAAATGCTTCAGAAAGGAATTAGAGACCGTTTGACAAGAAAAGGATCTTAGGACTCACTATTCCATCTCTTCATTATATGGATGAGTCCCTAACGCCCATAGAAGAGCGGTGGCTGCTATTTCTTGGTCATCTATGTGTTTGACATAAATTCTCATTCAGTATAGATAGTAACTGGCAAGGATGGAGCTGATTTCCTAATATTGCATATTAAAAAATTGGGGCCAATTACTCAAAGTTATACAGGTAGTAAGTGGGAGAGGCAAGATTTGACTGTAGGTCAGACTCCCAAGTCACCCTCTTCCACTCCTCATCCTAGGGAAAATGTCACATGCCCCCAGGTAACATATTTAATATCTCACAACTAAGAGGACTCAATCTTATCTTTAATAAAGACTCAAACCCCTGATCTCTTCCTTAATCTTTAATGTCATTTTCTCTTTGTTAGGGTTTTGTTTTGTTGGGTATTGGGGCGGGGGGAGAAATACAGTCACCCTTGGGTTTTAAGATTTCTTAATCAGTGGTGGTTATTATTTTTTCCTTACTATTACTTATTCAGTTTTGTCAGAAAAATATCAGGAATCCAGTGGAAAATTGGGTAAACATATAAAAAATCAAATTACACAAAGGAAATGAGAAGAGCACAGTAACACATGGGATAACTAGGCAGTCTAACTAGTGATTAAATAAATACAAATAACTGTTAAAGTAGTTATTTTTCCCTTCAACTTAATGATTCCCCGTGCTGGGGAGGTTGTGGTAAGATGATTCTCTGCAGACGGTGGTTTTAGTTGGGGCAACCTTTGCAAAGCATTTTGCCATACCTACCAGGAGCCATAAAAATAACATTCAACCTTATACTTAGGTTCCTGAAAATCATCCAAAGAAACAATTGAACAGGGGTAAAAAAAAAACCCTAGATGCATAAAAATGTCCATTGCAGTGTTGTCTATAATTTTTTAAAATAAAGAAACTATTTAACAAAAGAACTGGTTGGATAGATATTATTATATTGACTCAGCATACAGTACTATGTAACCATTTTAAATGGTAATTCGCAGGAGTGTGGGATAGTATGGAAATGTTTATGCTATGACACAAGCTAAAAGAAAGTAGGATACAAAATTGCATATTATAAGGCACCAGTGAAAATGTATTATGCATATCAACAAAACTGGAATGTAGAGTACAAAAATAAAAATGCTCTTCTAGTTCAAGGGAATGGTGGGTAATTTTTTCCTTTTTTCAGTTTTCTTTCATGTAGATGTTACATTGCCTTTAGTGTTTAAAGGAATGAGGTAAGACGAATGGTACGGGGAGTTCAAGCTCTGAATTGAGAGTTAAAGAACCTACGTCTTCTTTTCTCCTCCAGCATCACGTGCATTATTGGCCTTCATAAACCTCAGTTTCTCAGTCTGCACAATGGGTTAACATTAGTTTCCTGGACCCCAGACTGACAGAATGTTTATTTTATACAGCTTTTAACTCACTGATTTCAAGAGTTCAATGTAAATGTGGTCCTGGGAGAATGAGAGGAGGGAGGGAGAGGAAAAGATAAATAGGCACTAATTAATTTTAAAAGGAAAGATCATCTGCTTTAATCGGAAATGCATATGTGCTGTGCCCCTAGTCAGAGTTTTAAGTGCACTCCGTGTTAGTTAGCAACTTCAATTTAAAGTACTGTGTGATCCTTTGGGCTTTGAAGATATGAAGCCTATATACATACACATGAGCTAAAATTACCACGCAGTCACGGAGGCTGTGTGCACTCTGAATAATTAAATGCACTAAGCAACTCCAGCTGATGGATTGATGATGTGTAAGAGCAGTGCAAAAACCACGTGACAAGGGAAATTACAAGACATTTAGAAATGATGGTTTAATTTCCAAGCTTTCTTTTCTACTTGTGCTTTCTCTTTCAGCCATTACAGGCTAGTAGAACAGATTTGATTATCTTGTTTCCTGTGAAAGGTTATTTAGCCCCTCAATCCCATTAAGTCACTCTCTGCACTCCAGTGCACTGAGACTCCACCAGGTTATCAGCCCAGGAAGAGTAAATGGAGATACCAGGATCAGATTTCTAAAGGAAGGAAAGTTAAAGCAAAGTTTGAAAGCGGTGACAGCCAACAGCCAGGAGCTTAGAACTCAATTAGACTGAAAGACAACTATCTCATTATCTCATTCCGAAATGATCTAAATACATAAGAATCTAAAAGTTTTTAAATAAACTTGTCCTACTGACTGTCTAGATGACTGAATTTCCCTTCTCAAAAATTTTTTAAACACTCACTTTTATATTTATTTATTCTAAGCGCAAAGCAGCTGCGATAATTATGCTGTCAGATTCAGTAAGCTAATGAGCAGTCAGCGAATGGAAGGTTTTGCATTTGTGAGATTGCTACAGGAGAACCACTCAGCTGCTTTTTTCCTTCTTTCTTTTTTTCTTCCCTCTTGTTTTCTTTTTCTTTTTCTATGAGTTGGGAAGGAGAGTCGGGCAGTCCATGGCCAAATTGGAATCCCTTTGATTAACTGGTTGCTTTCCCAGCACTGTTCTGCCACACGTGTTTCCTCCCTCCCCGCCTCTGTCATCCTCCTCCCCGGCTCCTCCCTCCCTCTCTGTCTTTCTCTTCCTCTCTCTCCCTCCCTCCCTTTTCCCGCTCTCTCTCGCCCATCTCCCTCACTGCTGCTGGGGAACTGTTGCTTTTAAGGGACATTTTCGTGTCACTGTGCCCAAGGTAAGAGGATGTATCTCCCTGAGGGAAGTTCCCAAAATGGTTTGGACTTGAGACAATTTGAGAGTTACCTGTAGAGTTTAATATGCACTGCTTATTTGAACTGTTTGTTTATGCTACAACAGGAGCTAAAAAGAAAGTAGAATACAAAATTGCACGTTATAATGTACCTGGGAATATACATTATGCATATCAACCAGACTTGATGCCTCCGCTTTCCAGTCTAGCAAATATGTAATTCCAAACCCAAGGAGTCAGGGTTTACCCCAGGCAGCCAAGTCAGAGCAGGTTTATTTCTCCCCTTTTGGTGTGAGGCGCTTCCAGCAAACAATATTGATGCATTTTATGCTTGTGATGCACCAGAGCTGGGGCTTCTCTATTTGTGAAATTGTGCAGTATTTAGAGCAACCGGTTTGTGCAGCTTGTGAGCCTTGAAAAACTGGTGCCCAGGTAGAAAGATGTCCTGAGTAGGTTTTATCGATGTGCTTTCATGACAATGCGGCTGTTGTTCCTGGATGTTTTTCTCAGATGGTATCTGTGCTGATGCCATTAGCTAATAACAGTGGCTAGTTAACTAGTTAATAACAGTGGCTACTAGTTATTAAAAATATATGGTGTGGGACTTACTTGGTTGTCCAGTGATTAAGACTCCATGCTTCCACTGCAGGGAGCCCAGGTTTCACCCCTGGTCAGGGAGCTAAGATGCCACAAGCAGCAAGGTATAGCATGTGTATCTTATTTCACTACTCTGGAAACCCCAATAAAAACTATAATAAAGGAATTTAATTAAATTAATTATATACATAAATGGGCTTCCCAGTGGCCCTAGTGGTACAGGACCCACCTGCCAATGCAGAAAGACGCAGGAGACATGGGTTCCATCCCTGGGTTAGGAACACTCCCTGGAGGAGGGCATGGCGACCCACTCCAGTATTCATGCCTGGAGAATCCCGTGGATGAAGGAGCCTGGTGGGCTACAGTACTTAGGGTCACAAAGAGTTGGACATGACTGAAGTGACAGCGTACACACACACACACACACACACACACACACACACATAGTATCAGAACAACCCAAGATGTTTGGCATGTATTATCTTCTTTAAACTTACAGCAATCTGCCCAGAAGTTTTATTATCCCCATTTTGCAGGTGAGCCCCTTAAAATGTTAACTTTTAGAGAACTTGGCCCATATCTTTAGCATAATAAGCATCCAGGAATAATACCCATTTAACAGACAAATAATACCCATTTAACCCATTTATAAAAATGTAAACTGCCAGCATTCTGAGCTAACCAAATGGATAATATACATATATTCTGCCCCCCCCCATTTTTTAATTTACAAAAGTTGCACTTTAGAGTCTATTTAAATAAATTGCCAAATGAATCTAATGTAACAGAAATTTGAAACTTTCCAAAACGTATCTGACCTAGCACTACACTCACTGCCTGTTGTCACTGGGACTCCTCGGCTTGATTTTTGCCCTTGTTGTTGATGTGTGTGTGCCTTCCAGTTCTAGTCCTATTTTTACCGCCTTCAACACCAGGCCTAATGCCTCACCCAAGTGTTCGTTTGGTAAACATGCATTGAAATGAATTGAATCGAACATAAGGCACTTAACAGCTATTTAGTAAAGTGAGCTACCCATGAGTCAGTATAAGTTATTGGATAAATCCGGCTCACATTTTGACATCTCTTTGGGTGACAAATATTACAACAGACATAAAAAAACGCACTGTGAAAGATCCCAGGAAATAATATGTTGGTGCTGTTCTCTTTTGTTCCCCACAGAGGAATCTTTGTTTACAGTTTCAGGAGTGAGGCTGAAGCCAGAAATGTGTGACCTTTTGGCCTCCTACCGGAAAGGTCACCACCCAGCCGGGTTTAGCAAATGCTGGTAAAAAGAAAGGGCGAGATTACCAAGATCTTCCAGGTAAGTGGCTCCAACAGTGTGAGTCCTTATGGATGGAACTGAAAGTTATTCACTATCCAGTGAAGCCCTGGTTCCTGGGTTCAGAGACCTCTGTCCTGTGCCTGGCTCTTCATTCTCCCTCTGGGCACAGAGGCCTAGGCTCCACAGGCTGTGAGAGGAGGTAGCATCTGCCTGCATCAGCTCCCCATCTCAGGGGAGGGACAAGACTCCTAAGATGACCCTTACATGTCATTGTAAGGCCTTGAGCAGATGCACTGGAATACAGGACTCCATTGGCATGTGAAGTTCCCTTAACTATGTGATTCTCACTGTCAGCCGAAAAGACAAAAATCAGAGGTCAGGGTGACCAGCTGTCCCCATTTGCTCGAGACCAGGGGGTGCCCCAGGATGTGGGATGTTCAGTGCTAAAATCGACACAGTCCTGGATAAACCAGGATGGTTGGTCGGTGCAAATTACCACCTGGCTTGCCCCCAGGTGCCAGAGAAGACCTGACTCAGAGTCTAGCCCCACCTAGGAGGTGGTTTTGGAGGATTGTGAAAACCCAGTCATCACCGCTACAGGCTTTTGCACCATTGGTTATAGAGTGTCCTCTCCAGCGTGCACTCGGAACCACCAGGACCTGATGGTCCTGGGAGACAGGAGCCATCCACGAATGTCACAGACTCGGCTGCTCTCAGGAGTCTCCTCCATCAGCCCAGGGAAGCCCAGGCTTCCACGGCCATCCTGAGGGGGAAGGGTGCTGTGGAGGTTTTTCCCAAAGCTTCCAAACCCTAGAGTTCTGCTGGCAGGCACAGGAAGCCAGGAGGGACAACTCCTAAAGCCACCATAGTCCAGCATTCGTAGATCTTATAAGGGCATTTCCATGGTGAGTCGAGGGGACAGTCATCCAGACAGAGGAGTCCAGGTGAGACCCACGCGCAGAGCCAGCCATCCCTGTGGTGACTCTGGCTGTATCCCAGACCACAAACACGCCTAAGGGTTGGTCATGCTTCAGGCAACTACAGCTTGTCATGCTTCCCAGCAGAACTTTTGGGGTCTAGATGGCAATGACTGGCACGCTCCCTGCACCACCCTCGCCCCAACGTCATTCACATAGCAGGATTCAGTTCTTTGCCAGTTTCTTCTGTTAAAGACATATACACATCAAGAATGTCTGCCTTTCGGATTTTCTAAGATCATTGTGTTTAGAACTTTGGGGAGATTAGGGAAGTTTAGAATTATAGTTCTTCCTCAGCTATAATTCTGAAGTTTATATTTTGACAATATACAACTGGAATTACAATGGACAATACAATAATAATATGGTATTTCCCAAGTAAAATATTTTCTAGAGCAGAGATTTTGCTATGTAATTATGCCATTTTTAAACCCACTAGTTATGAGAGTAGGATATTCTTTAGCTACATTCTATAACATGAAGGATTTGCCCTTGACAAAATTATCAAAGACATTGATGGAAACAGTCTTGGATGGTAGTGTTGCCTAAGAATTAATAATTATTTCTATTGAGTTGTTATTTTGTTTTACTAAGCAGCCAGAAGGTAGGGAGACTACCCGCCTCTCTGAACTACAGTCAAAGAATCGTTACCTGTAGGTATAAATTGGTCACAATAGAAAATCAATTAAAAGCAGCATGACAAACGTGATGCCTATGCCGGCAATTGAAGAAGGGAGAAAGCACAGTGAGTGTGCACTGGAGTAATCTGATGTCCCTGGGCCTTCGGTACTAATGGAAGGAGATAAACCCGCAGGAGATGAACCCAATAAGGCAAAGCTGCAGCAATTAAACTGTTTAATAAATGGCTTGGGATGATCAAAATCTGGGAGTGCCAGAGTAGGGGACTAAAAGTGGTTATCACATGGACACTTGGGGCCTGTAAATCTTTTCCACTAAATTGAATTTATGTTAAAATATTCACTTTCCAGGAGATTCAAAATGTAAATTGGGATATTAGGACTTATAACTAGCAGCAATGCCTGAAAATTAAGACTCTGAAAAGATCCTCAAAATGTCAGTTTCAGGTATGGAAAAAATGTACACTAACATCTACAATAGAGAAATGGGACTAAAATTTACTGGTTACATAACATGTGCCAAGCACTTTACAAATAGTGTTTCAAAACTTGGTGTGTTTTGAACAGTTAGGGTGTGGTGAGGTATAACTATAGTTGGTACATTTGGAGATAAATTTTGATTATTTTAACAGCCTTCTTAGGGAAAGCTTTCTTAATTCTTATTACTAGGATAAGATGCTACCTCTGTTCATATCTATTATCAAGGTTTCTAGCAATATCTATGTAATTCCATCAACTTTGCAATAATATTGCACAGAATTTCCCCACTCAATCTGTAAGATGTTACTCATTATTTTCATTTTTTTATTCTTCATTCACTTCCAGGGCTATTTTACTGTTGCTTCAGTTTTAATTTGCTTCAGCTTACTAAGAAGCTTCAAATCTAACTCCACACTAGACCAAGGGTTTTATACCATCACCTGTGATGTGGAACATTTTAAATACGATGTCCAAGGCAACAGCACATAGTCCTTGAAGAAAAAGCAGTGAACAGTTATTGCTATCGTCATTTGCCTAGAATTTAACAGTGATTGGCTCAAAAATTAGACATAGACGGAAATCATCTGAGAAGAGGACTTCTGAATAATTTCATCCATTTCATTGTTTGTTAGAGAGATCCCTGGGCCAGAAGGAGAACAGGACAGATGGGGACAACAATTGAAAGACTTTGGAGACGGAGCTCATGCTTAACAGGGGCCTGTCACTCCTGTGTTCACTCACGGTTTTCCCCAACAAAAGGACTTCTGTGGCCAAGGAGAGGATTAGGCTAAAGTTTAAAAAAGCCTCCAGGGAAGGTGGTTTCTTGGATAAAGTTGTCAACAAAAAGACTTGCTTAAGACTCTTTGTTATGACTTCCTAGGGGTCGCCTCTTCCTTCGCTAACTGGATTATCAAAACACATTACTCCTCCATCCCAGCCAGACTTCAGTAGGAGTTTGGATTGAGCTGCTGGTTAGAATTAAATTTCAGGCTGTCCTCTTCTACTGAACTCTATTGTCTGTGATGATAGCAAAAGTGATGAGGAATCTCAGCTCTGATTTGATGGCAGAGATACTGAATAGATAGATAAAGGCCAGGAGTTCCAAAGTAGTAATTCAAGTCCTATTGCACCATCAGACACACATGCATGTCTGCACACACATAAGCCTCAAATAAGATGAGAGATCTGTCTCAGCTAACACGTGTTTCATTTTCTACAATGGGTCCTTCTGAAAGAAGCTGGGGAAACTCAAATGACTTCATCTGAGGATCATCTACTCAGGAAATGTAGTAGCCTAGAAACCAAAGACCTCTATATGGCCTTTAGAAGAACAAGGAGGAACTAATTAAGAGAGAATTTAAAAATAGTACCTATGCACTCAAAGTCTGAGATGAAACTACATACAGATAGTCCAAAGAAATCTTCCTTACTGAGTATTCGATTTTAGTAAGGCATTTAGCAAAGCCTGTTCAGATATACCTGAAAGAGGGAACTGTATTGAGGGCTGGATGAGGGCTGGATGATGGGGTGTGTGTACTCAAAGAACAGTGGCCTTGCTGGAGAAAGGCTGGCAGTGGTGTGGTATGAGGTTCAGCCCTGAGTTCTATTCTGTTCAAATGTTTTTATTAATAATTAATAATAAAATCAGAGACAGTCTTCGCGGAGAGTCGCCGCGGTTTCCTGCTTCAACAGTGCTTGAACGGAACCCGGCTGCTCGTCCCCCCCTCCAGCCCCGGCAGGCTACTCAGAGCCAGCCCTCGTCACCACTTGACAACACCCTCCGACCGGCCCAAGGTCCCCGCCGCCGCTCCAGCGCAGCGCAGCCGTCGCCGCCACCGCCCCTTCTCATCCGCCCGCCATGACGACCGCATCCCCCTCGCAGGTGCGCCAGAACTACCACCAGGACTCGGAGGCCGCCATCAACTGCCAGATCAACCTGGAGCTCTACGCCTCCTATGTGTACCTGTCCATGTCCTACTATTTTGACCGCGATGATGTGGCTTTGAAGAACTTTGCCAAGTACTTTCTTCACCAATCTCATGAGGAGAGGGAACATGCTGAGAGACTAATGAAGCTGCAGAACCAGCGAGGTCAAAGAAGCAGCTGATGTTTAGCATTGGATCATGATTCAAAAGCCTGAGATATTGCTAAAAGCTGATGTGTACACTACACATTCATTCTGGAATGAGAATGATCAAATTCCAGAACACCGACAGCATCAAATGCTGCCAGGGATGTGGAGCAACAGGAACTCTAATTATTGGTGGGAATGCGAAATGGTAGAGGCCACTTTAGAAGACTGTTGGACAGTTTCTTACAAAACTAACCATACTCTTAGGATCCAGCAATCATGCTCCTTGCTATTTACCCAAAAGAGTTGAAAAAAAAATTATGTCCACAAAAAACCTGCACACAGACATTTATAGCAGCTTTATTCATAATCACTAAACCTTTGAAACAACCAAGATGTCATTTCAGTTGAGGATCATCTACTCAGCAAATGTAGTTGCCTAGAAACCGAACACCTCTATATGGCCTTTAGAAGGCCATATACCGTTCAGTCACAACACATGAATGAGCAGACCGTGGTACATCCAGACAATAGAATATTATTCAACAGGAAAAAGAAATGGAGCTATCAAGTCATGAAAAGACATGGAAGAAGCTTAAATGAATATTACTAAGTGAAAGAAGCCAATCTGAAAAGGCTACATAGTACATGATTACAACTGACAATCTGAAGAAGGCAAAACTAACTATAGAAACAGTAGAAAGATTGGTGGTTGCCAGGGGTTAGGAGGAAGGGAGTGATGAATAGGCGGAGCACAGAGAATTTTTAGGACCAGGTAACTACATATGATACCCTCATGGTGGAACCATGTCATTGATTATAAATTTGTCCAAACCCATAGAATATCACCAAGACTGAATACTAATGTGAAACAGACTTTAGATGACAGTGATGAGTCTATGCAGGTTCATACAGTGTGACATATGTAGCATTCTGGGGGGGATGTTGATAATGGGGGAGGCTGTGCATGTGTGGGGGCAGGGTGTATGCAGGAAATCTGTAACTTCTGTTGACTATTCCTCCAAGCCTAAAGTTGCTCTGAAGAAAAAATATTTTTAAAAAAATTTTTTAACAGGAAATAAAAGCTAATGAACAGCAAGCCAATACATTTCTACCAAATTTCATGGTTTAATTTCTTACACTTTAGGTTTAAAATGTCAACAAGTTAAATAAAGTTGTGACTTAGTGGATATTGGATAGTGGATATTGGCCTAGTGGACATTCATGTTTAAAGTGTAATATGAATTAATAGTATGCTTGTGTGTTTGTGAGCTCAGTTGTGTCTGACTCTTTGTGACCGTATGGACGGTGACCCACCAGGATCCTCTGTCCATGGGAGTTTCTGAGCAAGAGTACAGGAGTGGGTTGACGTTCCTACTCCTGCGGATCTTCCCAACCCAGGGATCAAACCCGTGTCTCCTCTGCCTCCTGCATTGCAGTGTGTTCTTTACCACTGTGCCACCTGGGAAGCCCCAGTAGTAGGTTTGACTGACCTCAAAAATCATGCTAATACTTGTAGGTGATTGGAGAAGGCAATGGCACCCCACTCCAGTACTCTTGCCTGGAGAGTCCCTTGGACAGAGGATCCTGGTAGGCTACAGTCCATGGGGTCGCAAAGAGCTGGACACGACTAAGCGACTTCACTTTCACTTTTGTAGGTGATATAAATGAAGGAATAGGATGGTGTCCCAGAGAAGGGAATTACTCAGATCACATCTAAATTACTGTTCAATTTAACTCTATCCATCACACTTTTAAAAAAAATATTAATTTGGCTGCTTTGAGTTTTAGTGTGGCACATAGGGCGTCGTTGCATCATGAAGGACATAGGGTGGTAGAATTTTCATGAGAGTCGGTAATGTTGTCTTCTAACATTTCTTGGTATTTTTAGTGCACATCTAATACCACCTTGGAGTTATTCTCAAAAATTTTTGCCTTTTTTATAACAAAATATCTGGGAACATCCAATAGAGGTTACCTCCTGAATGAAAATAAATTACTCTGAGAAGTTACATTTCTTAGAACCGAAGTGCTCAGACTTTCCTGAAGGTTCTATTGACTGACACATTTTTGTTACTCTCAATGCCTTTCATAAATAACTTCCCACAGCAGTTTTATTTTAGCTCTCTTCTCTAAACCTATTCATATTTTCTACTTCTAACTCCTCTCCATCCCTAAGTAGGTTCATGGGCACCTGGTATATGATCTGACATACTAGATAATGACTTCATCCAAGTTTATGAGCATCCTTGTAAACAATTGTTTTTTTTGAAGGAATTTTCATTGGGTATTACAAGAAAATCTTGTGGGAGCCCCAGACTGAACCAAAATATAAAACTGAACCATCTCTTCATTGATTTATCCCACAAACATCTGGACAACAGAAATATAAAAACTAAAGATCCCCCAAGGATCTTGTAGTCGAATGGGACATTAGCTGGAAATAAATACAAGATACAATGACATTTCAGTCTTCCCTGTCGTAAAGAAGATGACAATTAATCTTTGTCTTCAAATAAAAGTTGGCCAGGCAGGCAATTGGGAGTAAGGGTGAAAAGAAGATGGGACAGATGGTTTGGGCTATAAGGAATAGAAAAACCCCATTCAATGGCTTAATCCATGAGAATATTAGTTCACATAAGATGTCCAGAAGTATATGGTTCAATGATTGGCTAATTGATGGGTCAACGACATTATCAACAACCCAGTTTCCTTCCATCTTTCGTTAATTCTCTTCATGTCCTTTGTTGCCATAATTCTCGGGCTGGTTCCTATCATGGTTTCAAGATTCTGCCACGGTCCCCAGGGATCATATGTAGATTTGGCAATGCCCAGCTGAAGAGAGGGTTTCTCTTCCTCTCTCCTTCTTTTTCAGAGAAAGCAGAACTCTCTTCACATCTTACTGACCAAACTGTCACATACCCACTCCTAAACTGCTAGCAACAGAAATTAGATGACGGCTTTACAATTGTCAGGATTTGCTACTCATCTGAAGCAGCAAATCACCTTTCCTGAGAGGCAAGTTCCTGAATAATCAGTTTTCTTTTAGCTGGAGAGGAGGGGAGAATGGCTGTTGGACAGTCAACCAAAGAAGCTGCCACAGCAGCTAATTGTCTGTGGGGTCTAGTGGTGCAGGCAGCAGTAGGAGAGGAAGAATGATTGTAAGGCTTCCAGTCTGGGAACCTGGATGACTTGTTATATCATCTTAAGTCAAGCAGTTAGTTCAGCAGAAGAGGCTACGAGCTCATTTCTGGACATCTTGAGTTGTACGTGTGCATCAGATAATTGGAACTGCTGACCTGGGACTAAGGAAATGAAGAGTGGCTACATGTGGTTATCACCTACATGCATGTCCCTGAAGTCCCAAAGATATGAGTACCCCAAAGAACATATACAAAGAGAAGAAGCACAGGGTGGGAGAAGGAAGAATCTGCAAAAGAGACAGGGTAGTAATGGCTAGAAACTGGAGGGGCGGGGCAGGCAACTAGAATCATTCCAAATGACAAGAGTCAAGAAGACTGTTCCAGTGTACAGTTTCTCTGTAGACTGTGGGGTCTACAGAGAAAATATCAGGAGGGTGTAATCCAAGGCAGTCCATGAATTTTATGGCTACTGGTCATAGGTTACCTCAAAGGGTTGGAGGGGGGTGGTTTCCACGGAATTGTGATCATAGAAAAATACGATGGATTAAAGAAGAAGTGATAAGAAAGTAGCAGCAGGATATATCTTTCAGAAACTCCGTCATGAAAAGATAAATAAGATGGAGTACTAGGTAGAATACAGAAGCTCTGAGAGGGTCCTTTTTTTCTAAGCACAGCAGAGATCTATGCACTTTATGAAGTGAAGGAAAAAGAAAAAAGTTGGGAGAATCAGCAGCTAGTCTAAATACACAGACGTGCTCCCTCCTTAGGCTTCTGCCTGGCTCCTCTGTCTGGCACTCTTTCCCACAATTATCCGCAGTCAGTGCTCTTACCAGTTTCAAGCCTTTGCTCCAATGCCCTCTGTCAGCGAAGCCTACCCCAGCCACCCTGTTCAACACCCAAGCCGCCTGTACACAAATCCCTCTGACCCTGTCCGGTTTCCCTAAAGCAAGTTATCACAGGATTTCACACTCTATAATTTATGGTTTACTTATTTATGGTATTCATTTTTTTTTCTCACCACTGCTAAAATGTAAGCTTCACGAGGACAGGAGACTTTGCCTTATTCACTGATGTATTCTGATCACCTTGAATAGCCCCTTGTACATAGTAGGTCCTTGATAAATATCTTTTGCATGTATGAACTCCTCAGCCCCTTGTTTACTTGTGACCCCACCCTTCTTTACCCCTTTGATGCTGGGTTTTTCCCGTATATATGACATATTGATGTTTTATATTTATTGTTTACAAGTGACTCTTGAACAACTCAGGGGTTAGGGGCACTGACCCCACACACAGTCAAAAATTTGAATAAAACTATAGTCAGTCCTCTGTATTGGTGGTTCCTCCATATCCATTCAACAAACCGCAGATCTTATAGCACTGAACTATTTACTACTGAAAAAAAAAAAAACAATCTGCATATAAGTGGACCCAGCTTCGAACTCAGGTTGTTCAAGGGTCAACTGTATTTTCTCTCTCCCCCTACTAGAAAATGAGTCCCGCAGGAGCAAGGATTTTAATGTTTTGTTCACTGATGTATCACAAGCATCTAGAATTGTGCATGACACAAAATCTGTGTTTAATAAATATTTGTGGAATATATAATGAATGAATCAGTGAAGAATCAGAGATTGAAGGAAATGAGATTAAGAGCTTACGTTTGCCTGGAAGAGGGTAAGAGACATGTATCCACTATGACAGGGAAAAAGAAACGTGCATGGGTAAAGACTGAGGAAAGACTGAAGACTCCTCCATGTGCAGCAGGATTAAGAGCCAGACTGCTTTTGGATCTGGTTGTGTGACCTTGGATAAGTTACTACACTTCGCTATGCTCTCATTTCCTCCTTTGTAAAAGGGGGATAATAATAATGTCTATGTCACAGTGTTGCTTGT